GCTGCGTTATGTGAATGACAAAGGACAAATAATTGAAAGGTTTGTGGGGGTTCAACATGTAACCGACACTACTTCAAGTGCACTAAAGGAAGCCATTGATGAATTCTTTTCTTCCGCAAATTTGAGCTTTTTCAAGCTACGAGGACAAGGTTATGATGGAGCTAGTAATATGAGAGGTGAGTTCAATGGCCTTAAGACAAGAATTTTGAGAGAACAACCTTGTGCATTTTATGTTCATTGCTTTGCTCATCAACTTCAACTAGCTCTTGTTGCGGTAGCAAAGAAAAACATTGATGTCAACTCTTTTTTCACAACGGCTAATAGTTTGGTTAATGTTGTTGGAGCATCTTGTAAGCGTCGCGATGCACTTAGAGCACAATACCAAGAAGGGCTAGTGAAAGCTTTTGAAAATGATTGTCTTATAACGGGGCGAGGCTTAAATCAAGAAACTACTCTCAAACGTGCCGGCGATACAATATGGAACTCACATTATGGTACGTTGATTAGTATCATTTCTATGTTCCCATCTGTGGTGAATGTGCTTCAAATGATTGTTGATGATAATCCTAATGATAGTTCGGGTGAAGCCTATAAGTTATGGAGAGAAATACAATCTTTTGAGTTTGTGTTTCACTTATTTTTAATGAAAGCTATATTGGGAATAACAAATACTTTGTCTCTAGCATTGCAAAAGAAAGATCAAGACATTGTGAGTGCAATGAGTTTAGTGAAAACATGCAAGGAAAACCTGCAGTGGATGAGGGATAATGAGTTTGAAGAATTGATTGAGCAAGCATCTTCGTTTTGTAACAAATACAATATTACAGTTCCTGACATGGATGAGGAATATGTAATTCCAGGGAGATCACGGCGTAATGCTCCAATGAAGACAAATTATCACCGTTATCGTGTGGAGATCTTTATTCATGTAATTGATGGGCAACTTGTGGAATTAAATGATCGCTTCAACGAGGTAAGTACTGAGTTACTTACTTGCTTGGCATGCTTGAGTCCGAAAAATAACTTTGTAGCTTTTGACAAACGAAAGCTAGTTCGTCTTGCTCAATTTTATCCTTATGATTTTTCGGATCGAGACTTATTGATGCTTGAAGATCAACTTGGTGTTTATGTTCATCATATGCGTTCGAGTAGTGATTTTTCTCAATTGGAAGGGATTAGTAGTCTTGCGGAAAAAATGGTGGAGAAAGGAATGCATGAAATATTTCCTTTTGTGTATTTGCTTCTTACATTGGCTTTGGTTTTACCGGTTGCAACTGCTTCAGTGGAAAGAGCATTTTCCGCCATGAATATTATTAAAAATCCACTTCGCAACAGAATGGGAGATCAATGGTTGAATGATAGTTTGATTGTTTACATTGAGAGAGATGTTTTTGCTTGTATTGATAATGAAACTATAATGCAACGTTTTCAAAATATGAAAACTCATCGTGGACAATTGTAACTTGTATTATTGGTTTTGTTATGAATTATGAATGGAAGTACTATCTTTCTATCTTTTTAGCATTATTTTCATTGTAGAAAATTTTTGGAACTTTTACACTAAGCCCCCTTGGCCACATAATCCTGGATCCGTCACTGCGAAGAAGGCTTGTAAAAACTCAAGAGCATGTTGCAAAAACTCCTTAACCTAAGAAGGCTTGCAATTTAAAACAATTCTCTGAAACCAACAAAGTGGAAATGCGTCTCGTATTGAAATTCAAAATTTAGCCTTAAATTCTATTAATACTTCCTTCAAAAGTGATGGTGGGGTAGACATAGAAGCTGAAACCAGAGGCTCAATTTATCTTTCCAACACCAATTTCTTCATAGCACAAACTACAATAAAAATTTGTTGGCTTCTCTCACCGTCCTTCACCACATCAGTTTAGTAGGTATCCTCAGCATCATCATCGCTCTTACTCATGAGTTACATACCCAAAAGAAAAAGCCACAACCACTCGACAATTAGGTTTGTTGGTTTCCTGTTTACTTACCATCAATGAGTATGGGAAGAAAGTGAATGATTCCACTTTTAGACTTTCCCATATATGTTTACTAACACATAAGGATGGAAAAAAATGCTGGTCCCGCGCGGCTATACAATTTATTTGTTATAAAAAAAATAACTCGCTTAGCGCATAGGCGCCCGAATATTCTCTTTAAATATTATATTCAAATAGTATATACTATTTATTTTAAAAAAAAAATAACAAAAAATGACCCCAAGTATAGCCACACGGCTATACTATTTCTTTAAAAATTACAAACAAAGGGGTCCGCCAAGCGATAAGGAGCCCGGATCTTCTCTTTCCCCTTGTGTAATTCCAAGGCCTCTTTCCATCTACAAATCTATCTTCAATTTGAGAGTTCAATTTTTTTCTCTTTTTTTTTCGTAGGAATGTTTGCCTTTGATCTACCTCGTTCTCTCGAGTGTTATTAAATTCTTTTACTGCACACATTATTTGTCGTAGAGAATTGCATCCTGAGTTGGAGTGGTCTTGGTAATTGCTTCACTTTTCAAACAACACTTTACATAAAGAATACTACCACCTCTTACTATCCCGTAAATCCTTGTTTGAAATTGTTGTTTTGGTTGGCAAAGAGATTGCAAAATCACCATCTTGCATCTTTGTTACAACAAGTAAGAAATAATCTTAGCCTTTCACATTATTTCATAGTTAGTAAAATACGGAACAGGAAAAATATGAATAAAATACGTAGTGTTTTACTCGGAATTATAATTTTGGGAAGTTATAACAGAAAAGTTCAGCCACTATATAATTTTTTAAAATGTTTAAATATATATTATTTTTATATAATATGTGAAAATTATGTGTATAATACGTGAATTTTATTTGTATTATTGAAATTTTTGTAAAAAATACATGTGTATTACACATAACAAATACGTACGTACGTGTACAATATGTGTATTGTATGTTTGCTTTAAAAAAAATATTTATTTAACAAAGTCTTTAAGACGTGTACTGAAAACGAAAGTATGATTGAAAAATATATATGTACATGTATAATACGAGTATTAAATGTCAAAATGCTAAATTCTTTATATGGGTAATAACTGTGGAAAAGTAAAAAACTAAAAAAATGTACAATAGAGACTTGGGTAATTGCCTAATTGTAATGGATAATGCTCTAAACTACTCTTATAGATAAAAGAAAATAATTTTTTTTTCAAAGGACTTTAGTATAGCCACGCGGCTATACTATTTATTTATTAAAAAAACCCGGTTAACCCCTAAGAGCATCTCCAACCGATATGTCAAAACTGCCACATAGACATTTAACAGCTAGAAATAACATATCACACACTCCAACCGATGTGTCAAAGCTGATGTGGAATGAAGGCTAAGATTGAGATGTTATTTTTGACATCCCAAAAGCAAGATGTCAAATGAATATTTTATTATTTTTTCTTTTCTATTCTTTTTAATTAAAAATAAATCAACACTAAAATGTATTAAAATAATAATTTAATTTGACATATCGGGTGGAGTGTAAAGCTGTGTAAGATGTCAAATTGCCACATCAGCCATCAAATTTAAATTTGATGTTTGGTATTTGACATCTCCCTTGGAAATGCTCTAAGCGCCGAATGTTAGCTTTAAATATTATATTCAAATAGTATAGCCGTGCGGCTAGACTATTTATTATAAAATAAAAAATAAAAAAAAAGAAGGACCCCAAGTATCGTCGCTCGGCTATTCTTTGTAAATAGTATACAAAAAAAGGGACCTGCCTAGCGATTAGGCGCCCTAATCTTCTCTTTTCCCTAGTGAAATTCTAATTAAGGCCTCTTTCCATCTACAAATTTATCTTCAATCTGAGAGTTCAATTTTTTCTCTTTCTTTCGTGAGAATGTTTGTCTTTGATCTAACTCATTCTCTCGAGTGCTACTAAATTATGTTACTGCAAGCGGCGGACCCAAGAATTTTTCAGCGGAGGTGCAATTTATCGCTATCATCATCAACACCAACAGTTCATCTTTAACATACTCTATATAAGTAATTAGGAGTGAGCATCACAAAACACTTAGCATAAAAATATAATCACAACAGTAGGGGACGTTGAGGAGAGGTAGTATTGCCATATGTTTATCAAATTCTACCATGTTGGTTGGCTGGTGCCGGCCACAGAGGCGGCTGAGAAGGCGGAAAGGGAGCACGATATGGCTAGGAAATAAGCGCCCAGGGTTCTGCCTAGCTTGGAAAATCAAATCTTGGAAGTTGAATATTTGTGATATTGCCCAAGCTTTAAAATTGAAATCAGGCTTTGATATTTACTGAAAATCTAACAGAAGGGGTCACCAAGATCTTTATGTTTACAAGAAACTAGTACAAATAATCTGGCAGACTACAAGATTGTAGATTGATTGCAAAATAGAAAACTTCATCTCTGTCTTCATATGAATCAAAATTATCAACCCGTGTCCATATAAACGTGTTCCTTTTTGTTTTTGTTTTTTGTTTTAAAATCCTGGTCCAAAACGACGTTGTTTTGGCTAGGTAAACAAAAAAAAAAAAAAAAAGAGCTGCGCTTTTTAAAAAGCCTGGTCCAAAACGACGTCGTTTTGGCTAGGCTTTGTTTAAAAAAAGAAGCGCGCACTGTGCGCAGCGTGAAACACTAGCAGCGCAGCGCCCATGCCATTTGCGCATTTCATCGAACACCTTGCGTGCGTCTCTAGTCTGAGCAGAGGTGCAACTCTAGCATCTCTTATGGAGTTTTCCTGTGAACGGAGGTGCAGGTGCACCTCCTTGCGCCTGCAGAGGTCCGCCATTGGTTACTGCACACATTATTTGTTGTAGAGAATTCAATCCTGAGTTGGAGTGGTCCTAGTAATTGCTTCACTTTTCAAACAACACATTACATGAAGAATGCTACCACCTCTAACTATTATACCCTCAAACCTTTAAAATTGTTGTTCTGGTTGGCAAAGAGATTGCAAAATCACCATCTTGCATTCGACAAGTAAGAAATAATCTTAGCCTCTCACATTCTTTCATAGTTAGTAAAATACGAAACGGGAAAAATACGAATAAAACCAGGAATGAAAAAATATGTGGGCCCTACCTCAAAATCTGTAATCACATCCCCTCCAAATCAGGAATTAGATCAACTAGGGGGAGTAATTGATCCGATTTCTATTCCTTTTTTCCCTTACTACCTTCCAAAAATACCCTCCTTGATTAGGAGATTTCCTTGATGTACAATTTCTGTAATTGCCCTGTCTGATTCAATGAACTTCTATTTTCCTCGACAACAAAAAAATGTAAAAGAATGAACGTGAAAAAACTGGAGACAGACTTTGTAAGCCTTGAACCCACCCATCGTGCAAAAGTGGAGAAAAAGGAGAAAAACCCCCATGTTTTCAGAAGATACACCCGAAACCGCCACCATCCTCTAGCCTGGGACCAAGGCGAAGGTGCTATGGCTATTGATCACTTCTATTAAACAATTTTTACATTTTGAATTCGTTCGTCCTTATAGTATTTAGAGATAATTAATATCATCCATAGGATTTTTTCTCTGTTCTGAACTGTTATATTGCCTTCATATTTTCTCTTTTTGAAAGCTTTGAAACTTAGAAATTTGATGCAAATAAATCAGGTCAATTGGAGAGAACATTTCTTAGTCTTGATACATGAAGAAAAAATGTCAATGAAATTTTTCCTAAATGCTAAGGATTCAAGCGCTCACATAATCATCCTCATGGTGATGAACATCTTTGTAATTGGGCAGTGAGGCTAAAATACTTAATAAATTAAAAGTCTTGAACTTAAGCCAGGCAGGGGCAGGCAGCCATGTTATTGTGTCACCATCTTTTGCTGCTGTACCACTAGAACAGAAGCTCTGCAAGTGATATCTGGTGAGGCAAGCAAGTCCCCTATAGTCCCTAGCTCTGGAAATTCACTCCATTCTGAAAGCCCTGATGTCTGAGGAGAATTCACATTAAACCTTCTCCCTACTATAATTAGGTCATAGTCATCCACAATAGACCGTAGTAATAAAGCCGTCTGAGGTCCATCTTCTACAACTTCCTCCAAGTATATCACAAACCCCTCCCGCACATCATTATATCGAAAACCCTTTAATTCCTCTGCATCAAGTACATTATCCCATTTCGAACCATCAACTTCATCAGCCGAGGCAACAAGCCGGATCACAGTTAGGCTAATCGTCGAGTCGTTGGTCATTCTTTTCCCAAATGCTAGTGCCTCCCTATCATCTTTACCTCCCAAGAAGATTATAGCCACAGAGAAGGATGACCCGGGTGCTACAATGGAGGACTGGCCTAAATGGCCGCGGTCGACAAGGATTCCAACAGAGCATGGGGCTCTATCTAGGACACTACAATTTAGGATCCTGGTGTTGTGGTCTTCTGACTCCACAGAACCGTCAACAGACCATCTCCGGTGAAATGGGAGCACGATTAGGGACACAAGCTTGTCCAATGCAACGGTGCATATGTCTTCATGCATGTATTTTGGGGCAGAGATTGATGTGAAGGTGCTTAGAGATACGGCCCCAAGATTTTCTCTAACAAAGTGATTGAAGTAGAGAATGACATTGTCTGAGTATGAAACATTGGAAGAAGATTTTCTCTGCATTTGATGGGAGATAAAAACAGGGGAGGCTCTGCCAACTAATTCAATGAGGTGAAGAACATAGACAGCTATGGGGTTCTCTTTAGATGGACATGCTGCATCAAGTAGATTGATGACTGCAGGCATGTTGGCTGACCTATGAATGCATGAAAGAATTTTGAGCTCAGCATTGGGTTTCAAATGCATCATATTCCTTCTCTGGTAGCCTGCGTATTTCCTTGAAGGATCATAGAGGTACTTCACCGCAATCGGTACAAAAGTTGCAGTCACTAAAACGCTAGTAATTGCCAAAGCAAATGATGGATCTGAGATGGTCTGTTTAAGAAAAAAAAAAATAGAGAGTTGTTAATAAGAAAGTGGTTAGCTAATGCAATGTGATCAGAGAATACGTTCTTCTAGCATGAATTACTCTTTTACTAAGTTTTAGAGACAGTCACTAAAATGTTCGATAGAGAAAAGGAGCAGGTACCAGATTGTCTCTGTAGTCAGTATAGGCGGAAAGGTTGACGATGCCTTTGCAACTCAAAATGAGAGCAATTGCCAATGCATCACTGAAGGGCATGCGGCAATACAATGGAGGAACAATGGAGGCAAAGAATTTGGTCACAAGAACGATGACAAGGAGGATTCCATTGACTTGGGTGTATGCGTCGGTGCTTAAATATTTCAGTGACCAAAAATCTGTCCTCATGGAACATGCAGTCACGAAGATGGGCAGAAGCACATCCGAAACGAACAAATTGAGCTTCTCTTCAATAGCTGATCCCAATGGTGGTCCGGCTGGGACAGCCAAACCAAATATAAAAGGACCAAAATGAAAACCTTGACCATACATATGCGAAAGCACCCCGGATGTAAGCATAAGCATGATGATGATGTTGACATAGGTTTTCTTGACAGGCCTGTTTTCTGGGGTCTGCTTGATCACCCAATACATTGCCGGTCTGAGTAAGGCCACGACAACGATGATATAGCCAATGCTTGCCCCTACCATCGTTATAGTATCCTCTCTACTATTCTCTTTTATCATTTTAACCATTTTGCCCACAAATTGCATGAACCCACTAAATATGTCACTGACCAGTGCTGCAGACATGCCTAATCTCCCGATCTCCGAATTCAAGATCTTCAGCTCCTCAAGGAGAAGAGCAACAACCGGAAACGGAGTCATACAATTTATCACAGTCACAAATGGAAGCCTGAACATTTCTTGTTCGGTTAGGTTGAAGAAAGAAGAGGTGAGCTTGGTTTGAACAAGCATACCGACTACCAAAGGCGCCACAACGCATGCCACACCGACGCACAAGGCCTTTTGCCCTGTCCTGTTGATCATTCCCAAATCCATTTTCACGCCAATGACAAACATAAAGAATCCATAACCAAACTCAGCCAGCACACCAAGTATTTCTTGACTGTTTACATTAAACAGGTATTCCCCGAAAAATTTGAAGTGTCCAAGCAGTGTAGGGCCGAGGATTATGCCTGTCTGCTCAACAAGAAATCATCTCATTGATTCAGTGACAATACAATTAAATAATCTAAGGACAAAAGAATAACTGGTTCATGGCAATGGAACTCAAAAAGTCGTTTAACAACGTACAATAATTTGTTTGATAAGCAATAATTTGTGGTCAGTAAATATAATACAAACAATAATTCTTTTAAAATAAGAGAGATAGAAAGAAGCACGTACAATAACTTGGGTGCTGAATCTTGGAACTCCGAAATATCTCAGAACGAAATAAAAGGCTTGTGTCATGCAAAAGATTAAGACCATCTGCATCTCCAGATTAGGAAGGGTATACGGTATCCCGGAAGATGTTTTGTAGCTGAAAATGCCGGCCGAATGTATGTGAGGAGGGAACTCAACACACTGAGTCATGTTCTTGAGCGTTAAAGTTAGGTTGCCTGACGCCATGGTTTCGTGCCTGGCAGCCTCCTCTCTCTCTCTCTCTTTTGATCAAAAAGGCAAAGGTGGCGATGTAAGTTTTGTTTTCCCTTCTGCAAAGTTAAACCCAATATATAAATATGTATTGCCTTGAGAAAATGTGTAAGGCATATGTAACAGTAATGTGGTTTATTAACCTTTCAGCATAGACTTTGAATTTCTAGAAACCAAAGTTCGTTTACATTCAAAGGGTATAATGTGACAGATGAGTAGAAAAACGGAATTTGCTAAGGCAACCGAAGTCAGTTATACATGCTCTTGTTATTGGGTTTGGTACAAATATTATGAAAACAGTCTGATTAAGTAGTTGATAATTTGTTTGTGTTTGAATGCTTTTTTTAAATTCTTTTCTATGCCACACATGACTGTATTCCAGTACTCTACAATAATTTATTCATCGGATTCATTAATGTTAACTGACTGGCATTGGTTTTCTAGAGAAAATGGGTTATACAGAAAGAATGAGTTGGCCAAAATTATTTTGATGTAGAGACTGTCCGAGAAAAGAGGCATTCTAGAACTTGAAAATGAATCACGTCGTAACGTACGGTTATTTTCATTCGTAAACTTACATCATTTATATAGAAAAATCCACATTATATGGCATTCCATAAATCCTGAATTTTGTGTACATTATAAGTTTATTCTCCGCCTTCAAACACACATTAAGTTTGAATGTCTGCTTTTGATAGGAAATCTAATTTATGTTCATATGAAAGATTGCATTTTCTGTTAAGTCTATTAGAGGAGATTAGGTCTTAGTAATGGAAAAAAAGTTGAAGATGGAGGCATTTGTGACAAACTTTAACTTCATAATTATCTCGATTTGGATTTCTATAACTATCAAAAGTCCACCATGTTGTAGAAAGATATGTCATTTCCATTGTGTTCACTTAAAACCTAAAATCGGAGCGATTAACGAATCTGAGAATAAAACCTTTTACACCCTAAATGTCAATAAATGGAATCAGAAACTTAAGAAAATTGAGTATAAATAAGATTTTCTCACGTGTCTCTTCTTCATCATCCTGTACATAGAAGAACTCTTGGTGCTAAAACAATATACACTTTGTTTGATAAAAACAAAAGCATCCTACTAAGCAGACCTCCTATTTCTACAGAAAGAAAAACACTACTCTGAAAGTGAAGGACATGCTAGACTGGGCATCTTTTTGACTCATCACTACTTATTGGATTTGTAGAGTGAGGTGGTGGACAATCTCCTCCATCATCAAAGGAAGCAGGAAAGACAAGCGATTGTACTGATCTGCTGCAAGTGGATGTTGGTGGCTGTTGCTGCACCACCAAAACTGAAAATGTAAAATCTGTAGCGGCTAAAATGTCTCCGATGACCCCAAGCTCAGGGCACTCCACCCAATCTGCATTCATTAGGCCTAATAAAAGTGGTGACTCTGGATCATGGTGGCAACCCACAATCACCAAATCAAAACCATCCTCCATAGAACGTATTATCTGCGTAGTTTCAGACCCGTCTTTCACAGTCTCCTCTCTGTACTGGTTTTTCCCCTTGCTCATTGCTGCACTGATCGTGTACTCTCGTATCAGTTCGTGTTCAGGATTAATCTCCCCCTTTTCGGTGTGCACTTTTTCGTGTTTGAATCGAACCAGTGTGAAGCTGATATTCGGATGCTCAGCCATGCGTCTGCCATAGGCAAGTGCCTCCAAATCATCCACACCACCGAAGAAGAGTAAGGCGATTCGATAAAATGTCTTCCCTATTACGACAGAGGGGTTACCACCTAGTTGGCCACGGTCAATCAGGAAGCTAACAGAGCAAGGAGCCTTGTTCATGATTTTGCCGTTGACATATTTAATGGAACGGTTTGTTGCTCCTACTGATCCAAATATTGTCCATTGCTTGTGGTAGGGAAGGATTACAATGGTGATACTCTTGTCCAGTGCCAAACTGCATACGTCGTCATGCATACTTGAGTACGGCGCAATTGCGTTGAAGTGCTGCACCAGAGCACTCCCTTGTTGGCGCTGCTCGTATCTGTTGAAGGCGTTGACAATGTGTTTAGAACTGGTGGCCTGAGATGTAACTTTCTTCAGATGGTGGTGGGGAACAAGCGAAGCGACTGCATGGCCAGTGAGTTCACTCAAGTGTAGAACGAAGACTGTAATGGGATTGAACCTCGTGGGATTAGAGGCTTCAAGGAGGTTTATGAGGCCCGGGACATGTTCTTCGTTTTGGATACAGACCAAAATCCGGAGCCTGCTGTTGTTGCTAGAGTTGAGAATGGTCCTTCTCCCGTAGGCTGTGTACCTCCTCGATGGATCGTAGAGACGACCTACCATAATTCTGGCAATGCCGGTTACAATCAGCATTGTAATTAAGAGAAGGCCAAAACAAAGGTCATCCATGATCTGTGCAAGATTGAATAAGCAGGTACATAAATTAGCAAAATAATGAAAAACCCACAAACTTTGCCAATTGGAAGAAACAAATGTACAGAACAAGATAGGGGCAGGGGGTTATCGAATCACCTTGCCGTCCCTCCATGCATTATATATAGCAACATCGATGATGCCTTTGCAACACATGATTAGAGCAAGAGAAGTGGCATCCCGGAAAGGAACTCCGAAATAAAGTGCAGGCAGAAGTGTGCCCAGGAACTTCCCTACATATCCCATAATGATGACTAACTCGGTTATGGCCAAAGCTCTCCGTCCTCGGAAGGCCATTAAGTCTGTAGTCAAGCCACTAATTGCAAAGAAAACGGGAATGAACAGTCCATTTGTGATGGTGTCGAGCTTCTTTACCACGGTTGTTGCTATCGGTGGTCCTTCAGGCAAGACAATGCCCAACAATAAAGGGCCAAATGCAGGTTGCCGGCCAAGATACTGGCTACAGAAGGCACACCCAAAGACAAGTACAAGAATGACGAAAAAGTGAAACTCCTCCAACTGTTGTCCTTCTGGGGTTTTTTGGGTTAACCATAGTATGAAAGGCCGCAAAACAAAAAGAATAACAAAAACAAAGAAGACCATCCAGAACATAGATGATAATGAATTCCATTTGGAGTGTTCGCGGAATGCACCAACTGTTGTCAAAGTTGTAGCCATACACACGCAGCACAAATCACTGACCATCGAGGTGTAGATGGCTAAGCGTCCCAGTTCCGAATTGAGAATATTTAACTCAGAAAGGAGGCTGATAATAACAGGAAAGGAAGAAAGGGAATTCGCTGTCACTACCACTACAAGGCCAGTTCTTAATGTCTGGTCCATAGGCATTAGGGAGCGCATGGTCAAGTAGGTCAAGCCACCAATAACATAAGGCATAGCAAAAGCCAGGCTCCCTATTAGTGCAGCATTAGTTCCTACCTTTTTCAGTAAGTTTGCATTCAACTGAACTCCTAGTATGAAGAAGTGAAACATGAAACCCAAATTTGCAAATATTTGAAGAGTCACTCTGCCTTCTGGAGGGAACAAGTAACGCATAAACGTCACGTACCGCCCTAGAATGGTGGGACCTATTATAATACCAGCCTGGTTGAAGTAAATCATCACATCACTACAATCAAGACATATACAGCAGAGCAAAAGAACAAGAACAATCGCAGGCAAAGCAATTTGGATCATTCTAGTTGTGTAAAATGGGTATCTTGTATTCATAGTTTAAAAAAGAGGATTAGCAAAACAGCCTCAAGCTTTTGATAAGTTCGCAATCATCCATTTACAAGGCTGAAAACTGTTCAATCATTCACCTTCTGGGCAATCGATCTGGCGGAAGAGTTAATTGCTACTATCATACTTTGTAGGCATTCCTATCTTGAGATAGATGAATACTATGTTTCTTGCAATTGTCTTACTGTTCTAGCAAGTTTACATGAAGCTGTCTACCCTGCATTACCCTAGCATGAGAAACTTGTGAAGTAATTAATATACGAAGTCAATTACAAGTTTGCATCGATATATTTTGAGTGAACTTCACTTTTGGTCTGTAATATTTTAATTTGATCAATTTACTCTTACTGTAGCAATATCCACACTCCATTTCAATTCTAATTTAAGTAAGATAGATCGGTGACCACCATTTAACAGAGGTTAACAATTAACATTGCCACAATGTGCAAACAATAGGGTAGAACTAAAATGAAATTCTTGGATGCATAATAGTAGTACATGGCTTGACTTGGCGTCTTTCCTATCTTTCTCTTTCTCCTTTGATTTAAGCAATTTGACCCTCGGTTTGACACCCCCCTCCGGGGATAAATTTTGTGTCATGCAATACATGTTGGTGTATACTATTGGTTGAGAGAGAGAGAGAGAGAGAGAGAGAGAGAGAGAGAACGGAGAGAGCTCACCAAAAGTTGTGCCATCATCATACTTTGTTGAAGAGGCCTCAATACAAAGTAGATAAATCTTGAAACAAAGAAAATTAGAATGGTCTGGACCAGTAGAACAGGGAAGGCATAATCAAAAATATGGATGTCATGCCATATACTTTTGGGGCATATGTTGTGGATAGATTGGCACACCAAAAATTCTTCGGTGTATGGCCCAGTGACGGTTCCCAAACTCATTGTTGTGGCTTACAGAAAACGATAACTTCTCATAGAACATAAGGAAAACAAGATCGAATTCTTACCAAAGAAACAACAAACGGAATAGGGAGAGGGAAAAAGAAAGAAAAAGAAAGAGATGAATGAAAAGAAAATGAGACCAGATGCTGAGAGAAAGAGAGAGATCATCAAACCTATTAATAGAATATAATGTAACTATCAAAGTTAGCCATGCGAATACAGAGACCTTCCATAATATTCGGAAGAATGGCCCCTCTCCACTCAATCAGGCTTTCCTCAATTTAAGCTAAGATGTGATCCCCAGCTGACGCCAAATCAGGGGAAAAGAATGAACCATCTCATTGAATATTTTTCATTTGAACTAATAAAAGAATCGAGAAACAAAGAAACAAGAATCCGACCTACACACTACAAAGAATCAAGCAACACTTAACAGAAAGAACTCTAACTAGTATGTTTCCTGCAAGACTACAAGTCAACTATTAGTCAATTACCATACACAGGTCACCAGTCACCACCATTGATGTACAAGAACTCCAGTGTCTCTGAGCTTATTGAAAAGGTCCAAGCATTGACCATACGTCTTCTTGAACTTGGGGCTCCTCTGACCCGGACAACATCTCTGCCATCTATTGTAATGGCACTCAAGAAAAATCTCATCAATCAAACAAATGGCACCAGTCTCAATCAACCTGGGAATCAAATGAAACTCAGTCCCTTCCACATCCATCTTCACCACCACAAAATCTCTCTCCGAAACCGTGTTCTTCAACCAATCCGCGAAATCAAACCCCTCAATCCTATCCACATTATCCCCATAATTCGACGAAGGCCTCACCGGTTGAACCCTCCCCATTCCTCTACCTTTTTCCACAGTTTTCTTACTTGGGTCTCTTGTGATCTCAAAGAACAAGGTCTCATTCCTCACCCACGCCGCATAAGGCAAAAGTGAAACCCCTTTCTTTGTTCTATACTCTTCGTGAAATGCCTTATCAGCCTCAATTGCATACACCTCAAAGCTATTGTTCTGTTTTGGGTACTGTTTCTTGAACCAACTTCCTATACTAGACCCATAGCTACGAGCCCCAACATCAACATAAACGTACCTCTGCTTATAGCTAATGTCCACCATTGAAGTTAAGTACTTTACCTTCTTCAAGTTCCTTTTCAATGCAATCCAAGGTTTCAGTGGCTCTTGCTCTATCAAAGCCTCTGCCTTTCTCACTATTTCCCGCTTATACCCTGGAACAGAGCATTTATAGCCGGAATTGACACCAGAAAATTCAGCCTCTTTCTTCATCACAACCTCGCGAACCGACGTCGTTTCCAGGCCTTCGATCTCGCGCGACCGAATGAGTCTACAGCAATTGAACAATTGGAGAAAAGAATTTAAGCTGTACGAATCTTTAGCCACAATGTGAGCCACGAAGAACCCGCCCGGTTTCAGAGTCCGACAGAGCTCATCAGAAAAATCCACGGGTCGACCAGACCGGTCCAGACCCGAGAACTCGAAATCGAACGTGGCTTCATTGAACGGCTGGCGGTGGGCCTCGCCGGCAACGACCAACGGCGGATAAGCGTTCTTGGAGACTCCAATCGAGTCGACAAAGCCGTTTTCTTTGAGTGCCAGGACGTCCTCGCCAGCTAGGGTTTCGACGCAGAGGGTTTTGAAATTGGGCCAGAGAAACCCATCGGTGATCAGGCCTTGGAAAATCGCCGAGTAGTAATCGACTGTTCTGCGCCACTTCTTGGTGGTCCAGAGCTCGGGAACACGTGGCTGGGCGGATCCGCGGACACGTAAGGCCTCGCCGCCACCGCCGCGGAGTTTGAGGTTGTCGGGGAAGAAGCAGAAGTCGTTGTAGCCGCACGACTCGCAGGCGAGTGTGACGACGTAAGCGAATCGGACGGCCAGGACCAGGACACCGAAGGTGAGGATCCGTACGAGGATGTTCCGTAGGCGGTTGGGTTTCCGTGTGGGAGGATCCATGCTCATGACGAAGTTAAAGAATCAAAGAGGATTCTGTTAAAGCAGGACAGGAGGAGGGCTTGAAAATAGAGGGAAAGTCTGGAGGAGTACAATCGGAAAACTAATGATCTTTCTGTACACGGGGCTATTGAGTATTGGCTGATTTATGAATGAGTCGGCGGATGGTATTATAGCCGTTATGCTTTCTGCCGCCTTTCTTTTTCTTTTTTCTTTTTTCTTTTTTTCTTTTGGGTTGACTTGAAAGATGGAGAAGTATTTTCTTTAAATGAAGAAATCAGAATTAAAATGGGTTTATTATTTATATATAAAATAGCTGAGCCTTCCCTCATAACTATTTTCATGACAGGAGAATTTATTGTTATATTGAGAAATAAAACCAAATATGTTGAAATTTTTTAAATAACTCAACCACTACCTGACCGACATTGACTTCTAAAATGTGTTGGTGTACAATTCTTTGATTAATATCATGTGAAAAGAGAGATAGACAAAAAAATATATAGATTTTGTGACAACATATAATCCATGACGATCCCCAATAACTTTTGATAATTTATGATATCATTTATTGTCTGTAGTGCATAGTATTTCCAATAACATAAATTCATTTTCTAATTTTAATTTATGATAATAAAATAATAACTCATCTAATTATTTCCCGGATTTTTGTTCCTATCTATCCAACATCTTCACCTATGCGTACCAAGTTGTCTTTTTTTTTGGTGAAAACCAAGGTATCCCTCGCGCGATTGCGGGGACTAACCCTCGAGGTACTGTCGGGCGCAAAGCGGGGACCTCTCCCAACAAAGTCTGCTCTATTCGCAAGCGCCTGGGATCGAACCCAGGACCTCTTGTTTAAAGGATCCAAGCCCCTTCCACTTGGACCAACTCCTGTTGGTGTACCAAGTTGTCTTTGATTCCACTTGCATGTATAAAATCGAACAATTTTTATGAATAGTCCACATTCCAAAGTATCGTGCACGCAAAAACCCAAACAAAAACAAAAAAACCCTTTAATTTAGCGCCATTTTAGAACCCACAAAACGACAATTTGACAATCTAAGGATATCTATGGAAAACCGGTTTTAGATAATGAAAAAAGGATTAAAGAATAATTAATAAAAAAGGGAACAAAGAGCCGTAACATTAATTAACAAATTGAATATAAAAATGGATTAAGAAACACCAACACATAATGTAGATAGGGAGCTATAGCTTTGGTCGGTCGGTGGGAGTATGTGTGAACGGGCCTCTGGGTCCCATTGGCTCCCCCAACTTCGCACCGTGTGGCTCACGCAAGTGTCTTGCTCTTATCATCACACCCATGTTTTTTAAAATACATAAAAACTAAAGGGTTAAATTGCACAAATTATCCACGTCAAGTGTGGGATTGTATGTGAATGCTACTCTTTTATAGCGAAGAAAACTCTTAATTATGTCTTTTTTGGTTACCAATTTCAGTCTATTTGCTTAGGTTTACACAAAAGGTTTAAAATGACTCTTTTACTTCTGAAAATTCGATTAGGGTTAAGGGTTTGATTGAAACTGCTTCTGAAAGTATTAAAAGTGTTTTCTAACAACCAAAATACTCGTGCATTTTAAATTATTAAAATCATTTTCTAACAACCAAAAGCACTACTCTTCATCATAAATTTAACAAAATTTTTAGGTCATAAAACCACTGCTATCTATTATTTACTTTCTTTTTTTGTCATCATATGAGCAACGTTGATATATGAACTACATTATCGAAACGAAAGAGGATTTGTGCAACTTATCCAACCAAAAGCAAATTGTCATGGAATAGACAAGAATGGCTATATATTGTACCATCCATGACCCAATACTATGAACGCGGCATAATACTAGTTGGGCCCACCAAGCGACCTACCCAGAAGACTCCGTGTGTGAACATAAAATAGAAAGAAAGTACACAAATTTGACCTTGACCAACTTGTGCACTAAGTAATGTAATGTCCAGCTCCGACATATTTGACCCATTCAAACCTCCGCTTAAGATGACGAGCCATGGCCTGTGAGTTTGTGGTCACTTAAGTTTAAAAATGGGCCCCACAGCTTGTACGGATGTTGCTGAATGATAATTTGCAATGAGGTCTGAGGGGAGAGAGAGAGAGAGCAGAGAAGAAAACAATAGGAACATTTGCAAGAACAGAAATATAAAATCCAAAATTCATTGTTATACACTATGAGCTAAAAGGAAACATATGGGGTACAAAAAAAAATTGAATTGAGGCTCCCCAACTGAGCTAGCAAAGAAAGCCTCAAAACAATTAAAACAATAATATTAAGACATTAAGAAACTTATTTCTATGCCCATAAATTTACAATCAATCCCTGTAAATGAATGTACAAACACAAAAAACCAAAAAAGAAAAAAAGAAAGAAGCAATGAATGGAATGAACCTGACTGTGTGTGCTTATTGTAATGACTATTGGTTTTTTTTTTTATCAGCATAGCAATGATTCAAAAAATGCATCATCTCTTGGCTCTTCCTTGGTTTTAGAAAACATGTTGTCGTTGAGCTGCGCTTGGTTCATGTATGACCCCATAGAGTTATCAAACCCTGCAAATCCGAAACTCCCGGGGCTCTGCAACATCTCTAGGGTAAAGGGTGCTTGTTGCCCTTCTGATGTTTGTTGCCTTAAGTTGTTAGTTTGATGGGCCACATGCCTCATTGCTGTGGCTACATTGTTATTGTTGTTGTTAATGTTGTTGTTGTTTGGTAGAGGCCTATTGACAGAAGCATGGCTGCCGCTGCCACGAGCTGCCGGAACATCATGGTTGTGCTTTCCTTCATAGGTTGTGATCACAGCTCTAAGATCATGAGAAGCTCTCTCAACATGCTTTCTCACTGGACATCCTGGATTTGTGCACTTGTAGTAGCTCCTGCAATTTCAAAAATAAAACACACCCCAATTAGCAAACAAGTTATAGAATATAGTTTCTTAAAAGGAAATCCACTTTTTCCCAAATGCAGAAGTGAAAATTTACAGCATTCACACCCATCAAAAGCAAACTTTAGAAGAAAGTGTCTTTTTAAAAAGAAACTAAGATGTTATCTAGAAGAAGGTACTTATAAAGAATCCACTTTGTGAGGCACTTTTTTTATATCTTTTTTACAAAATGAGACTTAATTTAGTGATGTGTTTTCCGGGAAAAGTGTCCAATTAGGTAGAGATCGAACAATGGCAATATTGAACTATCAAAGCAATCCATCTTTCAAAAGTTTGAAAAAGTATATATCAAAATCATGACTAAGAGGAGCTTTACCTTGGATTTGGATTGCCCTTTACCACTTTCTGCCCGTACTTCCTCCATCTGTACCCATCATCTAGAATATCAATATCACTGGTTGTTTGAACTACAACTCTAGGCTCTCTCACTGTTCTGCTCCCAGGAGCTGAAATACCTTCATTATCAACTTCCTTTTTCCTGCATAATCATGGAAAATCACTAATTAATCACACAAAAACACCAAAAAAATCTCAA